AATGCCGACCTGCGCGAATTTAAGCCGACCTCGATAGGCAGGAGTGCATCCATTCTGTAAACCATGTGAAATGGCGACTGGCCTGTTGAGCTTCTTGGGGTCGTCCTATAAGCCCATAGGACTGCTGTCAGCTCGTCGACCCAAGTACCTGATGCTTTCTCCAATCTCTTCTTTAATCCTTGGAGAATTGTTCGATTAGTCGCTTCGACCTGCCCATTTGCCTGGGGGTGTGCGACCGAGGCGAACCTTTGTTTTATTCCCATGTCGAGGCACCATGCTTGAATTCGTTTCCCCTGGAACTGAGTTCCATTATCAGAAATTAGCACTTTTGGGACTTCGAATCGACAACAGATATTGTTAAACAGGAATTGGATCATTTTCTCCTCCGTAATTTTCGGCAACGGTTCCGCTTCGACCCACTTGGTAAAATAGTCGACAACGACTACTAAGAATTTTCTCTGCCCTGTTCCCATCGGTAGTGGTCCTACCAAGTCGATTCCCCATTGTGCGAAGGGGATCGGGGTGTTTATGGTCGTCATGTATTCGGCGGGGATGTGCGTGATTTTCCATGTCGTTGACATTTTTCGTATTTCTGAACCAGCTGTTCTGCCATCGCTCGCATCTTGGGCCAATAGTATCCTGCTCGCAGGGCTTTGCCTGCCAAGGCCCGTGATCCTACATGTGCTTGGCAACACCCTTCATGTATTTCTCTCAAGACATGATTTTCTTCGCCTTCGGAGACGCATCGCAAGTGAGGCCCGACCAGAGATTTTTTAAACATGATCCCGTCGACTTCAAAGTATTTGCTTAGATATCGAGCAACCCTTTCTGCCTCCTGCTTATCCCCCATAGGTACTCGGCCCTGCAGGAGTTCATGAATTGACTTTCTCCAGTCGTCTTTTTCCTCGACTTCCATCGTTTCGCCCAACACGCTTCCCTCTAAGTGCATAGTGGTGATAGTAACTTCCCATCTTCCCATCATTCGAGCTCGCAATTCTCGCTAGCCAATCCGCTCATTTGTTTTCCTCTCGAGGGATTTGTGTTAGTTCAAACTTCTCCAGGCCCTGGACAAGACTTTGGATTTCTTCGACATATTTCATCATTCGTTCTTCTTTGCTCTCGCAACTTCCCAACACTTGTCCAACAACTAACTGTGAGTCGGAATGCGCTACAACTTCTGACGCTCCTCCGCCAATTGCGAGTTGAATTCCTTTGATTAACGCCTCATATTCTGCTTCGTTATTCGAGGCCTTAAATCCTATTCTAATAGCAAAGTCAAGTTGCTCGCCCTCAGGTGAGACGAGAAAAATTCCCAGACCCGATCCCTTGGCCGCTGAGGACCCGTCGACGTGAATGACCCATTTCTTTTCTTCCCCTTTGTACCTTCTTGGATGAAATCTGCTAGGGCTTGGGCCTTTATGGCTCGTCTTGGCTCGTACTTGATTGAATATTCGCTCAGCTCGACTACCCACTTGACGAGTCGACCTGACACCATGGGCCGGCCCAGTGTTTCACCTAGTTCAAAGTTCGTCCTGACTAATACCACATGATTCAGAAAATATGGCCTTTGTTTTCTAGCCGTTACCACCAGTGTTAGGGCGGCCTTCTCGATTTCAGAATATCTCGTCTTTGCACCCTGAAGAACTCGACTGGTGTAGTAAATTGGCTGCTGGACACCTCCTTCTTCTCGCAATAACACTGAACTTAGTGATACCGAACCCACAGATATATAAAGCACCAACTCATCGCCGGGCTCTGGCTTTGTCAACAAGGTAGCTCGCCCAAGAATTCTTTTAATTTTTCAAAGGCCACTTGT